GCCCAGCTCGCACGGAGGTGAGCTACTGTGAAAAAGCGAATCGACAAAAGCGGGCCATTCTGCGCTCAGCGTCCCACAGACGCCAAAAATATTCCCAAACTCTAGCCGAGACCGTCGGACAACAAGATGTACTCCAGCCGAAGTCAGCTGCTGTGCAAGTCACAAGGCTAGTTGATTTTCTTCTATAATTCATGTATTTAGTTGAGGAACGACGACGAATTCTAGCTATATTTTGATTATCATGCATACCTAGTGTCTGTCAGATCCAAACTAACGCCACTTTCTCAGTGGTCAAACAGACGGTCGTTTCACATTGACAATCCACGCAACACTACTAGTCATTCGTTGCTTCTAACCAATGTCAGGATGAAAGGTCATTCCTGAGGTTTTGTAGCTGGGAGCGATGATCTGCTTAGATAATGACGAAGGAAGAGATGTGATTCAACAAGTGAGAGTCTCATTGACTAATTTGCCTTTGATAACGTTGCTTAAACACATCATCGCAATAGATCACCAGCACCATCAAAGTCGTCAACACAGAGCGAGAAGCATGACGCTACTGCGTGATATGAAATGACTGACCACCCGAAGTTCCGGCCAGTCAGTCAGGCACCCAACCTGACTGTCACCTCATCCATCTCGGGTGACCATTTTCTGAACTCCTTCGTCGGCAGGTGGTTTTCGAACATACGATCGATTTCAGTTGGGGTCCGGTCTTTCATCTCCGGCACCAGAAACCATGTTATCAGCAGTGCCACGAGACTGGAGGCGGAGAACATGAATCCTGTCTTTGAGCCCAGTGCGCCTTGGTCCGGGTTGAATGCATAGGGCAGCACCAGACCGGCAACCCCAGTTGCCAGACAATTTACGAGCCATCCTAGTCCTTGCGTCTTGGCGCGGAGCCGTAGGGAGGATGTTTCCGCGCCCACGGCGTAGGTCGCTGGCCATGCCCCAGCTCCGTTGAAGACGACGACCAAACAGAACGTCACAGCCGAGTACCTAACGGTCATTATCAGACGTGGCCCCTCAACCTGGACACTCGAGGAGTGGAGGACAACTAACCAGACAGTGACTTCTCCATGAAAACAGCCGGCAATGCCCATACCCAGCCATAATAGTGCTATGATCCCCAAGCTTGCAATGATGAGCGATACGCGGCCAAATCGGGACAACGTCCAGAAGCTGAAGACATTGGCTGCTAACCCCAGCCCAATGCTGACCTGCAGCATCATAATGCTTGTGTTCGCTCCCAAGCCGATGATCTGCAGGAAATAGCTGGCTTTGGCCAACAGTACGAGTCCCATCATGTTCGGGATCATGTTCACGAAAAGGACGATTATTGTGCGCCGCCGGTTGACCCCCACGAAACACTCGCGGTATCTCGCGGATTCTTGCTCCCCGAGTTGGGCGGATGCGCGCAGTTGCTGGATCTTGGCCATGGAGTCCACCTCGGCGGAATCTAGTCGTTTCTGTGCTTTGAGCGCTTCGTCCAATCGGCTCTGGCGGACGAGGTGCGTTGGGCTCTCGGGGATCATGACGGACACTAAGAGGGACAGAGCTGAGAAGGGCCATTGCGATAGGAAGCAGTTGAGGTAGCCCCTCGCTCCGGGAGTATGGAGGGCACTCCGGACCACCGCGCTGCCTACCAACTGGGCCACGAGTGTGAAGATGGGAAACAGGGCAAGAGTCGGCCCTCTTAACACGGTAGGTAGTACTTCTGACATATAGGTCTCAGCCGTGCTCACGACCATGTACACGGCGAATCCTTGGACTAATTTTCCCACTAGGAAGATGGCCCTGCGGTCGTCGATCTCGGTCGCGAGATTGGAGACATACAAGACGGCGACCGCTATGGCGGAAAGCAGGCTGGCAATGGCTAGCGAAAAGCGACGACCGATACGGTCTTGGACGAAGCCGCTCGCGATCGCACCGAACAAGCCCCCGATCGGGCCGGCCACGCTCCAGAGGCTCAGCCAGACCGAGGGAATGATCAGTTGTGCCTTCAATTCCCGGCCATAGTCACGCCTTGCGAATGTATGTGAGTATTGAAGAGGTAGACCGCGGGGTTCAAGAAAACTCTTACTGGAACTGTGGCATGGACGACACATTGTTCACAATGACCATATCGTACCCGTACAGCAGGATGCCGGCAGTCAGAGCAAGGCAGTAGCCCAGTATCTTATAGGACTGCTTGATGGTCGCCCACACCGTCGGCTGAGCGGTGGATCGAACGTCCTCGGTGGACGAATTGACATGGTCGCTGTTCCGGGCATCTGCGTCTCCTGGATGAACCTGAGCAGATTTGGAGTCCATCGTATCGCATATGCTGGCTACCTACCCATGGGGATTGGCTCCCACCTATGTCTCTATGTCGCCCATTATGTAGTCCAGGCTCACGGCCTGACTTAACTCCGCAAACACGGGGCAAATGCTGGACATTTCTCTCAAACAAAGCAAGCAGAGTTTCCAAGACGTTGCACAATGCAGGGCAACACTGTCCCTCCCAGCCACAGTCGGGTTGTGTGGTCAGTTGCGAGCAGCGGTCGCAGGCGGTTGCGCAGCCATCCTAAGGTCGCATTGTGTGGGATTGAGCGATTGCAGTTCTGACGGTCGGGAACCAGCGAATCAATGAGTTAGGGCAAGAAAGCAAACATGCCGCACCTGCTCTCTGCACCAAGCAGCTGTCCGAGGCCGGTGATCGAGCCTCGAGTCGCGTTGGTAGGGTTCATCCTTGGGCAAGTCAATCCCGGGCTTGTATGGTCCACCACCACGCAAGTTGCAACGGGGCACCCAAAGCCGCTAACTTAGTGACTTGGCGCGTCAGCCACAGACTTTCCGTTTGAGTATCTTGTGATTGCCACTTCGCATTGGATGCTCAGTCATCTATGCAGATGTACCATTTGTGTCCTTTGTCTCAATCTCGCCAATGAATCTTCGTTGCTGCCCATCTTGTGCTGTGCATACCTCTCTTCTACCAAGTATCTCGTCGATTGGGGTTTGTACTGCACGGGAAGGGCGCCCGTTCACGTGAAGCGGAAGTTGCCGAAACTCACTCGAAAAACACGGCAAAAGAAAGGCAGCCGATGCCAACCAACCCTGCCTGCCAGCGGCCCAGCGAGCGCCCTTTTGATGCTGCACGCTGTAGATCAGGTTTATAATTGGGCCAACATTGGCTCTCATGCTGCATCAATTGGCCCGGTTCGGAGAGTTTCTCCCCGCCCTGGCGAGTCAGGACGTTTGGTCCTGTCAGGTTCGGCAAAAGGAGACACCATCCGCACCGCACCATTGTCTGGTTTTCCGATCCGCGTGGGTTGGCGTGGGCAGGATCGACAACCGGTAATAAGACGTCAAAAGTCCCGTGGGTGGGGGGGGGGGGGTATGGTCCAGTCGGGATTGACACTTTTGACAGATATGGAGATGGCAGCTGTCTATCTTTCTAGTTTCCCACAGTCACCGCGGCACTCTGAAAGGACATCCATGATCCATCTTTTTTTTTTCTTCTGGTGCTAAATTTAACAAGGAAGGGGAGAGGGGGGGGGCCAAGTTCAATGGATCTGCCCCGTTCATTTTTTAGGGTGGGCACTGGCGTTGTTGTACATTGCTTGAATTGGGAATTGGCGAACCGCCCAGTTGGGACTGGCAGGGGAGGAACATTAAGATTGCCCATTGCCAATTCATTTGCCCAGGAAAACATTCCCCTGATTCTCTGAAGGACCTTCCTTCCTTCCTTCCTTCGGTCTCCTAGTCTAAGCCTCTAGGCTCTAGGACAATTGGGATTGTCATGGGCCAGTCGGTCCCAGTCGCGTCTGACAGCTCACCCTGCATTGGCTTTCTAGAAGTCTGCAGGTCCAACGCATTTGCTTCTTTGATCCTGGTTTCCCTGTGCCTCCGAGGAGTCCCGGATCCTTGAGATCCACTCACGCGTGGCAGCCCAAACCCGCAGGAATGAGGGGAAGGGGCGTTTCGTCTATAGCACCCGTCGCATATACTCATCGTCATGACTGGAGCGGTAATCCCCGAAGAAGAGGCGGACAATCGCACGTGGGAGTGGGCATGCTCGAACGGATGGGCATGGCGATGGCGATGGCGATGGCGATTGATTACATTGGAATTTAGGATTGGCATCCGTGGGTTGCTGATTGATCTGATCTAGGGTTGTGGAAGGTCAGCTGGGGTGTGGGCGGATGGCGGATGGCGGCGAATGCGAGCTTTGATCCATGGGTTCTGGCAATTCTGCACAACATTAAAACCCTCCAAACCATAATTGATCCCAGAGCCATGGATGGCTTGCGCCGTCATGACTTGACTTTCTTCCTTGAACTTTTTTTTTTTGGTTTGCCTTCTTGCTTCTCACTTTTCTTACCAATTCTTCCTCGTCTTACTCCTGACTACTGACTCGACCGTCGGGGAGTCTACCCAAAGCGGAGGTACAACCGAGGCGGAGTGGAACCAGTCCCGTTTCCGGCCATTGACGTGAAATTATCCCCGGTGCAGCAGGATAACCTTTAACACTATCAGACACTAATCGTGTCGTCGCTCTGACCACAACGGCTCAGTGGGGGGGAAGAATTGCTCTGACTCTCTGCGTCTTCGCCACAACTCAATCCGCACGAACAATTATCTTGGTTTTAATCTCGGGAGAATGGAGCCCTCTCCGCGACACCTACTTAGTGATGATCTCATTCCTGAAATGGCTGCTCGTACTGAGTACAGTCTCTCTAAGCGAGGGGGCTCTACTGGAGTCTGTCTTCCTTGGTCCCCTTCAGCTCAGGCACTTGCTCAGTAGGTGGATTAGTTAGTTAGACTTCGGACCGGCGCACCGTCGATCTCGGTCTGCAGTGAGAGAGAGAAGACAGAGAGAGGGGGGCGGCGATGTGCAGACACAACCCTAGACCAGTTTAGCCTGTCATGATCACCTCCGACCAGGGCCAGACGGTCGTCGACCGACTAGATTAGCGTGCCTGGAGTTCAACTTCCTCGGGCCCTCTAGACCGCGAGTGTGGGACGGGGACGTGCAACAATCACTTTGAAGGTTTTCCCTTGCGTCTCGTCTCCCTACCCGTTCCCTTTTTTCCCCATCGTTCACTCAAATACCGGTTGCGGTTCCCTTCGCCCCTACCTTTAGTAACGGTTTCTCTTCTCTCCTTCTCTCTCTCTCTCTCTTCTTTTTCTTTCTTTTTTACTTAGTCCTCCGGATTATGCCTTGCTTCTTGCAACGATAGCATGGCAGCAGATGACCGCAGCCCGGAGGTTAAGGCGGTTGCGGCCGTCTTTATGTCCGTGGCCTGCATTGCGGTGATACTGCGATGCTATGTGCGCGGATGGATTGTTCGAGCGTTTGGGATTGATGATTGGGCGATGGTGGTTGCGATGGTGAGTTAGCATCATCATTTTGGACAAGTGGGACGAGAAAGCTGATCATGCCAAGTTGTTTTACTGCATGTTCTCCGGATGTATGATAGGAGGAGCCATCTACGGCACTGGTCGACATTTCAGTGTCCTGGATGCGCACCAGCGGGTGACAGCCATGAAGGTACGCTTTCGTCCGGGGAATTCCAAGAAAGCGGGCGGGGTTACTAACTCTCACCATAGTACTGGTGGTTCTGCGAAATCGCATACTGTTTCTCCGCCATGGGCTGCAAGATTTCCGTGTGCATCTTCTTGCTGCGCATCACCGTGAAGCGCATGCATATATGGATCCTGCGCATTGTGATGGTGTTGACCGTCGTCGCCGCCCTGGTCTTCATGTTCCTGATGCTGCTGCAGTGCAGGCCTGTCTCCTATTTCTGGACGCGCAAGGCATTCGACGACAGCATTCATGGGGTCTGCATTAATATGGAGATCATCATCGCCATGACCTACGTGTACAGCGCGTTTGCGGCGCTGTGCGATTTCACCGTGGGTATCTTGCCGTTTTTCATTGTCAAGAACCTGCACATGCGGAAGCAGACCAAGATGGCGGTTGTGGGCATTCTGGGCATGGCTTGCATGTATGTCTTTTTCCCGGTAGAGTGGCCTGACCGACTGACTGACTGACTGACGATGTTTAGTGCCTCATCCGCGACGATCATCCGCATTCCCTGGGTGCACACCTTCAATGACCCGGACTTTCTCTGTACGTTTCCACCGCTCTCCCCAGCTTACCCAATCGACCAAGCTAATCCTTTGTGTCGCCTAGATGCCACCGTCGAAATCGCACTCTGGTCCAACATCGAAACCGGCCTCGGAATCACGGCCGGTAGTCTCGCGACCCTCCGCCCCCTCGTCCGCCACTGGCTGGGCTCCCACTCCGACCCCAACTACTACGACCGCTCGCCCTTCGGCGGCCCCTCCGGATCGCGTCGCATCGGCGGCGGCGCCAGCAACAACCCCCACCACCACCACGCCCGATCCCACGAACGCCCCATGCCGCTGGGGTCGCTCGACGGAGCCGCCGTGCAGGGGCGCCTGCGCCCGGACAAGCTGGCGGTGACGGTGACCACCATCCACAGCCAGCGGGGGCCCGTGACCTCGTCGAATAGCAGCGAGGAGCAGCTCACAGCGGGGCTGTCGGGCGAACGATCGCCCGGCAGCAAGGATAGCCGAGGCCGCCGTGACCGCGACCGCGACCGCGACACGGGGTCGCATCCGGGCTCCGCCGGGGGCCCCGGCGGCGGCGGCGGCTTCGGCGGGATCCAGCGCACCTTCGAGGTGACGCAGACCTCGTCGGCCGGGGATGATTCGTGTCATGAGCATAGTATGGTTTAAAGGTTTTTTGTTTTTGCGTGTACGACTACTGTACAGAATTATACCCTTGGTTGTATTTGTCTGGTCTGTGGGTTACGGGGAAGGGATGGGATGGATGTATATACCACCGAAGTTATGACATTTTCCTTTGTTATGTGTATTGTCTTCACTCGAGTTGAGTCTTAATCGTGAGTAACCATCATCTATCATTGTTACTTTCCACTCTCGAGTCCATGAACTGATCCAACAACAATCAAACAAAAAACCCCATCCCCACCTCGTATGTTAGAGGCTCACACATCCCTCAGCAAGGAATTGTCCAATGCTAGTGCTAACTAATGGCAACGATGATTACCAATAGCTCCAGACAGCCTGTAACTAATCATCTGCCTAAACCAACCAAGCGGCAGCTTTCCCCGGGGCGAACCCCCTCCCCCCCAGCTTTAAACTTCGGCAAGCAAGGGCGCAAAAGTAGCAAGCAAAACTAAGGTTTCAGTTTCTCCTGCATGATGCGTGGCATGGCATGGGATGGGATGGGGGATCTCGAGACGAGCCCCGGCATTAGACTAGCAGATGAAACACCTCACATTTTTTTTCTTTTTGACTGACAAAGTCTGACTCGTGGGAAACCGACCTTGGCTGAATGCCGTTAGCTGCTGCGACTCGCGAGTCAAATGTGCTTGGGCGAGAACGCGTGGGCTGGACTGGAAAAGCCGAGCCATTAAGGTTTCGAGTGCACCGGAGCCCGGAGCCGGAGCCGGAGCCGGACCCAGCGTTCGCTCTCTCGGGATTTGGGGTGGGATTCTAGATCTTGTGTGAGGTGTCACTATGATGTATGATGTATCTGATTCTGTTTGGGTTGTGGTGTGGTGGTTCTATGGGGGGGGGATTAGTCAGGCCCTGGGTTGTCAATTAGGGTGGTTAGTCTAATAGGTAGGTGGCTAATGTGATTGGCAGCGACTGGGATATTTATAGTTCTGGATTCGGTTGATGGTTCTTTGGAACTGTACTCCGTAGATGGGTACCATATCTCTATTCGTTTCTTTGGGTCTAGAAAAGTTCTTATTGACCGGGTGCGTTGAGGATAATCTGATTACCTACTTCGTAGAAGTTGACATCTACGGAAGACCTACTACGGTCAAATCTACTGTGCTTCTGGTAAGTTCAGCATTCAAAGTTTAAATCCAGACGATGGATCTTTTGTCTCCAGAGAGAACCAGTATGCGAAGTTGATAGTGAATTATTGCTGACTCTCTAGTCATGTCTAACTTCTGAGAAAAGTCAACAGCAAAACCAAAGTACACACAGCACTTTCTCCACCAGCGCTAGACCAGCCACACAGTTCAACACGTACACTTAGAATCGGACTAACCACCTGCCTTAAACCTTCAATACGACTCAAGTTGAACTCAACCACCAAAGCAAGATTAGAGTAAACACTAAACCAGAGTACAGAACCCCACCCCCTTGACTACTGTTATGTACTCCAGGACCCGCCCCCACCTCGATAAGATCTATCACCAAACCCCCATCATAGGACCAAACCCCAACAGGCCAGAGATTACAAAAGACTATTGCAGCCATTTAGTAGATAGATTTTTTTTACTAAATATTTTTATTATAGTAGTTACCCCCTATCAAAATTTTATATTACATTTTGTTCTAATTCTTAAATTATTTTTTTTAAATACTAAAATATTATTTATTAATTAATTAATTTATTTTTATTTTTAAATTTTTTTTTAAATCTCTAAATTATATATCTAATTTAGCTTCTTTTTATATTAGAATATTTAGAATTTTTAGAAGCCAAAGATATTATTACTAAAATTCTTAATAACAAAATAATTTTTATTATATTTTTATTAGAATTATTAAGATTCTATATATATTTGATTTTCTTATTTATAATTTACTGGCAGATCTCTTATTTGCTGAGTGGTCACAATGGTCTTCTGTCCAGCTCTGGATGCTGCCGCTGCTGCGTCTCCGTCACAGCCCACTCAGTCTACATTTATCCAGGCACCAGAAACCGGTCACATATTACTGAGCTCACGAATCCTCCAACTGAGAAATCTAGTTCTTGGATCATTTTCATGCTGTAAGATTTTTTTCTCTGACACTCTTATTCAGCATGCCATGTGGACAGAAAGACCTATGTCTAAAGCGGCGTCGCTGCGTTCATTATCGACGTGAGCATGCAAAGGTAAACTATACTCAACTGTGCCCTGAGAAGTTATACAAAGCACTCATGGTCCATTGTGTGATGGTGGCAGACCTTGCTCAATCTGCGCGAAGCGAGGCCTCAACTGTACCTTCTCCACGCCTACCTTCAACTTCACCATCGTCTCTTACCAGCGCCGCCTACAATTAAGTGCCCTAGGTGCTTACCGGCCTACAAGTGAGTCGTCATATACCAGTTTCTTTTTCGATTTCGTGGGCTTTGCCACCTCGCCATTCATCCAACTTTTCTCCTTTGAATCCATTGGGGACCTTTTCCGCCACGATGATTTAGTGCGCAGCCAGAATTGGAGCCTTCAAAGGCGCCAGTCAAAGTGATCAAGCTCACATTACTTCCTTTAGCTTTTGCACTGTACCTAGCGGATGCATAATCACGGCCGCGTTAGTCGCCCAGCACTTTCCTGCAAGGCATCAACTATTCATCCCATGCATGTTGTCTTGGCAACCCCTCTTTCATGCACTTATCTTATCAATGTTCACAGCTCATAGCTGAGCTTGATCTTGTCGAACACTTTCGCTCAAGTCGTGCCAACTGATAAGCCATGCATGTATGATTCGTCACTCGTGCATAACTCATCATTCTCCCTTCCGAATGACCTATAAAGCCTAAGCTCGCGACCTAGCACTTTCAGCATGCTGTGTCGAGCATCGCTTTACACTCAACCGCCATGTCGGTCCAGGCAGCCTGGGAGAGCTGCTCCAAGATTGATACTCTGTTCATTCTTGTGTGTTCTGTCTTTTGCTGGCTAATCATTCCTGCTGTCGGTCTTGCCTACTCGGGTTACTCTACACGCTTTAACAGTCTCGCATCCTTCTACCCTGGTTTGCTGGCGGTCGCTGTCTGTACCATTCAATGGTGGATGATTGGGTACTCTCTCGCCTACAGCGAGGGGAACAGCGTTATTGGAGATCTCAACAAGGCTTTTCACGTTGGAGTTCTTGCTGAACCCGTCGGTTCTATCCCCGAGATCTTGTTCTCGGAGTTCCAGCTCATCTTCTGCGCTACTGTGTGTGCAATCGCGATCGGTGGAGCCTGTGAGCGTGGGCGTCTACTTCCCTTAATCCCTTTCATCTTCGTCAGTCACCATTCCTGGTACTCCCGGATCGCTCCGCTAACACTGTATAGCTATGGTGCACCTTCATCTATGCACCTCTTGCCCACATGGTCTGGTCTGAAACAGGGTTTCTCGCCAACCTTGGTGCCCTCGACTTCGCTGGAGGCACGCCAGTTCATATTTGCAGCGGAGCCACAGCCACAGCTCTAAGTGTGTATCTATCCTATCCTCTGTTCCGTTCACGACGCTCCTCGTTGCGCACCCCGAGCCATCTCGCTCTTCACCGCCCACACAATACACTTTGTCAACTTCTCGCTCTAATCATCATCTGGAACGCCTGGCTTGCCTTCGACGCGGGCACCACCCTCGCCCTCAATTTCAAGAGCGTCATGGCCGCCTGTGTGACCAACCTATGCGCTGCCTCAGGGGCCATCACATGGGCTAGTCTCACGTATTACCATACCGGCAAATGGAGTCTAGACAGCACCTTTCTCGGAGCGATCGCGGGACTCGTCCTCATCACCCCAAGCGCCGGTTTTATTGACATGCCGACCGCAATGGGATTTGGTGTTCTCGGCGCAGTCTGTGGCTACCAGGCTCTGCGCATCAAGTTCACCAAGCACGCGAAATACTACCGCTGGGTTGATAATGGCGATACTTTCGCCACGCACTGTCTTGGTGGGTTTCTGGGTACCATAGTCACGGGCCTCTTTGCGCAAAAGGAAGTGGCTGCGTATGACGGAGTCACGGAAATCACGGGTGGGTGTCTCTTTGACGGGAACTGGACACAACTTGGGATCCAAGTCGTCGAGGCGCTGATCGGCTTCGTCTGGAGTTTTGGAGGAAGTTATCTACTCTATGCATTGATCGATTGTGTGCCTGGGTTGGAGGTTCTGGCTACAGATGAGTATGTTCTGAGGGGTATCGGGTGAGAGAATGATCGCTGACTTATGTGGACAGTGAGGTTATTTCTGGGCTGGACAAGTCTCAGATGGACGAGTCGTTGCACGAAGCTCAATGGGCTGGAGAGGAGGGATACCATCCATTCCAAGGCTCAGTCCAGATATAGAAGGGCATATCGGTGGCTTATGGATGAATTGGCTATTTGCTGGCACTGCTTCACAATTATCAAAAGCTTGAAGCTGTGCTAAAAAGTGAAAAGAGCGATCTCTATGCTCACTCAGTTGACAACAACCAACACTTTAGCACTAGACAACGAAAAGCACCTAACACATTCCATAACTTGTGGGACACTCTACAGAGGACTTACTCCGGACCCCATGCAAAATCTGCCTCACAATCACTATAGACACATTGGATTCGATTCAGCATCAAACCAACTTCTTCGTAAAAATGTCCTCTTTAGCCCCCACGCAGCAAACAGGAAAAGCAAATGAATTTCGACCGCAACAAAGGAACTCACCTATCCTCGTCCATCCCCGGCTCTCCGACTCGCCACTCCCATGTTACCGAAACTAACTTTAAACCACCGCCCCTCTGATTCAATGTTCAACCACAAGGATGGCCAATACGACCCAGGGAAACTACCCGGACCCAAGACTCACGGGCTCGTGTACAGAAAGCTACCATTCGGAGCTGATTGCCGAGTTGCACAGCCATGCTTCATCATGATTTTGAACCTGTCTAGGTCTCTGGATAAGCAAACTTTCCCTGATGATAGCTTAGCCACTTTCGATCATGATACTACGGCTCTGAGAAGAACTTTGAAGCCCATCCACACTAAGAATTAGTCAGAATTATTTCGGCTTGTGGATTATTATCTGAAAGTCTTCTGTAGCATTGTTCAATAATCGCATTGACCGCGTCTTGACTATAGCTATATTCAATTCATGGGTTCCTGTTATCTGTGTCAGCGACTGGCGCGTCTTGGCTCCTGCAATCGATAGACTGTTGGAAGCTTTGTTCCTTATTAAAGCACCGATCACAAATTGAGACATTGGCTGCTGCCTGGGTTGTGTACGGAAGTTGTTCTAATCTCTCCTGAAAGTCGAGATGTCTCATAACTGTGGCATCTTCCCTGGATACTTTAAATACATTGTTCTCCGACTATGCACCACCAGTCTGAGGGAGCGCCCTGTGCAGCAGTTACAGGGTATATTGCCACAACTAACAGATTTAAGGTTATATCAGTTGCAATAATATAGTGTAGTAACTTATCAGCCCTGAAAAACAAGACCAAGCGCTTGCGTGGTAGAACAGGGGCGAGAGCAAATGACAAGGATGAGAAAAATAAGGGAAGTCGTTTAGCGATGCATAACGCGAGGCGCTGATTGACGAATGTAGTTCTCATTATATGCCGGAAATTCTCGTATCTAAAAGTGCCGGACAGAGATGACTCCACTGATCGTGATTATCTAGCTGATACATAACCTCATGGAGGAAGGGGATCGAAACTGCTGCCTTTGCTTGCTTTCTATGCTACGCTGAGATACTACGGCGTAGGCCTGTAACAACTCATATACCAACGCATAGATGCATAAACATGAGAGATAGTGAATTGATGCGAGTCAATTTCAAGAGGTCACTTGCAATCGAGCCAATTTCCCTAATACTCTCCATACGGGCTGAAAATAGCAGCGTTAGCCTAAGCCTAGGGCTTGTTTGATTCGCGATCCAATGCCGCTGCTCCTTAAGCAGTTTTAGTGCCTGAAACATAATGGTGGGCCTTGCCGCCTGGCACTATGATTGACTATAAATGTCCTCTACCGGCCCTGTAGATAACATTCGTTAATTCTATGGACTACAAGATTCACTATGGCAGCCATGAGGCAAGACAGCAGAGACTTTGCCCTGCTATCCGGCGAGCCAAGAAGAACCCCCAAGCGCTTGATATTCTCCTACGTGCTCGACTGGATGTTCATCATGTCTGTAGCGTTGACTCTGGCGCGATAAGAACGCCCATTGCTGAAACTCTTCTCATTTGCAGTCTTCTCGTCATCGTCGGTGCCATCCTATACAGCATCACCGGCTCCGAGCACGTCTTCTCCCTCGACGACCCCAGCATTTCCTATCCCTTGAAAACCGACACCGTCTCGATCGTCACCGTCGGAATCGTCTGCTGTGCCGTCCCCGCGCTTCTCATCGCCGCCCTCAGTCTCCTCCTCCCGATCCCCTGGAGACTCCGCCTCTGGGAATGGCACGCCGGGTGGCTGGGGCTGGGTCTCAGTCTCGCCGGCGCCTTCTTCATCACCTCCGGCCTCAAGGACGTGGTGGGCAAGCCCCGGCCGGATCTGCTCGCGCGGTGCCAACCCAACCTGTCGTCCCTCAACATAACCGCGTACGCCGTCAGCGGGCTAGGCGTGGAGCGTCCAGAAGCCCCAGTGATGGTCACCACGCGCATCTGCCAAGCGACCGACTCCAAGACCCTCCGCGACGGATTCGCCGCGTTTCCGTCCGGTCACTCCTCGTTCTCGTGGTCAGGCCTGCTGTACCTGTCGCTCTGGCTGGGGGCGAAGTTCGCCCGTGCTGTTCCTGCTAGTCCTGCTCACTGCCGGGACGCGTCCAGCCGGGCTGCTGCTACTGCTGCTGCTCCACCCGTGTATCTACTCGTGCTGACCGTTATTCCCATCGGCGGTGCACTCTACATCTGCGGCACTCGCTATATGGACTACATGCATGCCGGGTGGAATATTCTGGGAGGGAGTTTGATTGGGATCGTCTTTGCGATTCTGGGCTTCCGGTGGTATCACGCCCCAGCTGGGCAGGGGGATGGGGGCTGGGGCCACGCGTTGGGTCCGCGGTCAGCGGACCATGCGTTCGGGGTGGGCTTGGTTGCCCCAGGGGAGTCTGAGGGTGATGACCACAGGCAGGTGGAGAATCGCGAAGGGTTTCTGGATGTCGAGCTCAACACTATCGATGGAGGCTCGCAGAGTGTGTTGCGGGTTGCCAATCCCTAGGCTGCTTGTTTTGGATTCGGTTTTGTTCATGTCCTATGTACAGTACAGTATGCCGTGTGGATCCTTTTGGTAGTCCGACTTGCGGCTCCTGTACGCTATTGAAGATTCATGCATTGCTCTTGCCAACAAGGATTCAGCAGATTATCTCTTTCGGTAGACAAAGGAACGTATCCATTTCGGACCCTTGCTCCAAGAATTTAGATACGTTGAAAAATACCGGGCGCTCTGACCCACTTCGGGTCTCCGCAATCCGCATTCAAATTTCTTTTACGAAAATCGAAGTGGGTTTGGACCCAGACCCAGTTGCCCCAGTGTGCAATGGGAATTTGGGGATTAACCACGTGTGTGCCCATGCCTCGGATTTCAGGATCCATGAATTCAAGTCAAGAATCGAGTTGATACACCGTTGCTTGCTTGGGGGGAGAGGAGAAATTTGGCTTTCGGCCGCCCGAACTTCCGAACAAATTTGGGAACATAGATAAGGATTGAAGGTACTAGTTAGCAGAGCACCAAAAACGTATGTATCGTAAGATATCAACGTAAGCATTGTGGCTTAGACCAGGGCAGGAAGAGCAGGGAGATTGTATGGTGGGAGTAAACTGATGTTCAGCTGCAGCATTGGGTTGGTTGTAGCAAAAATAGATTAACGTTATGGCTGTTGCCTGTGTGAGCTGCTTCTCAGGGTATTCAGCCGGAAACCCTATCTTCCCCCCATGGGAGCTAAGCTTTCACCGAGCTATACCAGAATTGGTCTAAGATTGCAATGTTACAAGCCACTATCGTTGCATTAAGCAGGAACTCAGACGACCGTAAGCTACAGGTTGAAGAGAGATCACAGTTGTACTCGGGCACCCAGCGATAAATATTGAAAGTAACTACAATAGTGCTTCTTCAGAAGGCTTCTGAATAACGGCTCAGCACCGCCCATACACCTGGCAGTAGCACAGTGTTGAATCCGGACAGCTGAACAACCGCAACCCAGCTTGATTAGTACAATCTGCTCCAGACACGGGGCCCTCAAGGCATGACTTACTACACGGGTTCTTTGCCGAAAATAATATGCCAAAGATATTCCATCACCCGGCCGCTGTGCGCGTCGTCCAGATCCGTCTCGATGACCCATTGTCGGATCTTCACGTAGTCAGCCCGGGGTCTCTTCAGCACCCGCTGTCGGGACACCGCGAACTGCGCACAGCACGGCGCCGCAATCCGGACCGGAATCTGAAGAGCCTTCTCCCCGTCGCTCGGTTGGGATATCATGACCCTAGTGTCGTCGTCGTCATCGTCTGCAGGCGGCGTGCTGGTATTTCGGAAGACCTCCCGGAAGATCTGAGGCGTCAGATGGCCGTGGGGGTATGCGGTCCTCACGCATCCCGGGTTCGCGTTGCATCGCAGGTTGACGTAGCCATTCTGCTGGACAAAGTCAACCCGCAACGCTCGCATGGACCAGACGTTGTCGTGCAACGGGGCGTCGACGTGCCACGCCCGAAAAAACCCCGAGCGATGCGCGTGCAGGAAGACGATGGTCGAGGGCAGGTGCTCGTAGTGCTCGACCAGATAGGTCAGATAGGCCATGGATTCGTGGCCCTTGTTGAGCGGGGTTTTGAGCTGCTGGGTGTCGGCCACGGCTTCTTGGGAGGGGTTCACGGTGTATATGGCCCGTTGCCAGCTAGATATACACACATGGTTCAGCGATGCCTAGCTATTTTGGTGTTGATGCAGTTGGAGGGCGGGGGGTGTTCCAACTCACTCGGGTAGTTCTTGCTCGATCCAGTCGGTGTTTTCCTCCTGTAGTTTAGCGACGACTATCACCTTGTCACCGTAATCTTCTGTCATGTTCCTTGGCGGTCCTGCTGCGGTGGACCAAGAGTTGAACCAGTCGATGGCATATTGCTTTGCCTGGTATTGGTCGCATAGATCACGGAGATGGAAGTCCAGGAGAAGCAGGGGGAGGAGGAGTGCTATGCTGAAGCAGAGGAATAGTCGGAAGGGCCACTTCATGGTGATGTGTACGTTCCTAGCAGAACAAAAACTATCAAGTGACACATGAAGATTGGATAGAGCTTGGAGAGTAGAGGGATCGGTATGCTTGTTTAATATTCGTTGAGAACCTACCTTGTGGCTATACGGACATCTACGTATGCATACTTCAGGCTTCATCAAATCTATGATAGGCTTACCGAGCCCAGCACACTACATACTGTACATGATAGGAGACTGGTCAAAGGTTCCTCATGAATCTAGCCAAGGAGCGCCTGGCAGTCCCACCTGAACCGCACCAAGTGGGCACTATCAAGCTTGAATTTGTAGTGGTAACATATCCGATTTTTCCGGCATTCAATGTGACGAGTGAGCCATTTACACCTACCTAACTGAGACCATCTGCTTACCGATCACTTGCAAACGCTATTTGACAGTATACGTACACGTCCTTTTGATGCTTGTCGGGTACCAGCCATACTTCAGAGACACGCGTCTGGGTCACCGTGGCGAATGTTTCGGTCTGGTATTTTAATTACATCTCCGAAACCCGCAATACCGCATCAGAGAATACAATACCCACAGCCAGGGGATGAATGAACAAACAAGACCAACATCCACCACCGGCAGGTCGATTTCTTATCAGATCTAACCGGCCTCCATCTCTTACTTCTGTACTTCACCGTGATGACAGTGTCTCGTGCCATCCAGCAAGCAGCCATCGCCATTTTGGGGCGGATGCTCGGACATCCGAATATCAACTGTCCGGGGAAAGGAAAAAGATACCTCTACGCCAGGGGGGCGTTGTTGTTGGTGCTTCAATGGCAGAATGGCGTCCCAGGTGATTCTGGAAAGATCCGCTGTACGTCTTCTGTCCGGCTTGAGCCCCAGTTTCCTAGCAAGTTAGTGGCTTGGTGAAACTTTGCAATCTTCCTGTCTCCTTTCCATCCCACAAACCGCGACAAGCACAGATCTGACACCACGCTGACATCTATTGATGTCGTTGACAAGTGCGACCTCTGTCACTCCAGAAAGGTCAGTGACAAGATCGTGACACAAGTCATTTTACTTTCTTCTCCAGCATGTCGTCTAAGATAACAGCTGATATAGGTGAAATGTGACCGACTCGACCCTTGCATGAACTGCGTGGATGCGGAAGCAGAATGTCGAAGGGCTCGGCCACGGCGTAGTATGCGCCCTAGAGTCTCGCGGTAAGTCCCCAGACCTTTCGGTGAGCAGATCGTTTGCTCCGAAAACGTCTGCGCTCGTTGGAATGGCTTCGGGTTGTAACACCCCATCATCTAGAATCTCGGGACTGTCAAAGAGGCTCTCAACACTGGAGCAATACATAAGCAATCCCCATGTTCCTGCGGCATCCGCGAGACAGGAGCCGAGTCGCGACTTCCAAGCGTCTGAAAACAACAGAAACATGATACTAGACATTCCCCCGAGCTCCCAGGCTTCCAACATGAGCACGCCAAAAATCAAGACCGCAGTCGATGATGTGGCTTCTCGACGACCCATAGAAACACCCGCTGCAGTCGAGGATATAGCAACGCAACAAGCCTGTGAGGCACGACGCTCCATTCAGCAGGAACTGCGACAAAGCAACCACTTATCCTGCAACCGACGCACCATCCTGGAAAGTGCTCTATCCCTTGTAAACAAGATATCTGCGCCATCGTTAGAGAAAGGACTGTTCCATGAGAATACCAAAGAGTCGGAGGATTCCAGTCATTCAGGCCTGGAGGAGTTCACCCTGGAGACGTACTTCATGATGTCAGAGGGTTTGTGTTCAAACGTGAAGGAAAATCCTACCCTCTCCCTCTAACATTGGATAGACATAGCACACCGAGATTCGCCCGGGAAGCACTTGCATTGGCCCGACCATGTCTCGGTCAGAAGCCTGGAACATATGAGCCTGTCTCTGGCTGAAGGCAGAGTCGACCGTCAGACATCTCTGCATTATCGCGTCTGCGTCTATACCAAAGCCATTTTTTTCCTCGCCCGTCTGCGGGAACGACAGATGAATGGGCGGCTTCGCAACCATGTTAGAATGACTCGTCATAAATATACTCTAGCAGCTTTCAAGGCTCTAGACCAGGTTGATCTGAGTGGGACGCACTCTCTATCCTTAGTTCAGGCTCTACTATCCGGTGTATGTTGCACGGCTTTTTTAATCATTTGAATGTAGCCATCCTGACCATGTCTCGAATAGGCATTGCTTCATCAGATGCAAGGGAACCCCACGAAGAGCTGGACGCTAACGGCATTCGCTGCGCGGCTGCTTGTCGCCATGAATTGCCACAACATTACCAATGATACACCCGTTAGAATACAGGAGGAAGAGGATGCCCGCTTCTGTCTTTCCTCCTGCTACTTACTCGATAAGTCACTAAGCATGCTTCTCCTTCGACCGCCCTCACTTCCACGTCTGGGAATAAGTCCTGTCGCACTCATCCCTATGGACGACGGCATGTCGCTCAGCACGATCACCAGAACTACGGTTGAACTAGCGGAAGTTCAAGAGGCTGCATTGGAGCTATTATACAGATGGGCGGGGCCTGGGGATACAAGCAACCCGGCAACCGAGCTCGATGGGATGATCCAGCAGTTGATTTCGATGAAGATCGTGATCGAGGAGGCAAGCTGTTTCCTAGAAACTTCCTGCAATTTTGAGCTACAATACTGACCTCAATCAGCGCCGGGCAAGCTCCAGGCCGGAACTGCAGCTAGATTGGATGGCGGTAGAATTCCGATATCACGCGATGGTGACAACCATACTACAGTGCAAATCAAGGATCTGGGGCACGGCTCAGAACCGGGAGGAATGTCTTCAGCATGCGCGACATGCGCTCGAGGCTTTGAGCCGTCTGCAAACAGTTTTCAATGAGGACAGTGCCTTTGTTGGTGCTTACCCGATGTTCTTGACCTGGTGAGTAGAGCTCTTCCTCGTGACTGTATGCTGTATTCTGACGAGGTTTGACTACTCCAGGACTGTTTTCTCTTACCCCATGACTCCTTTCTATATCTTGTTCTGCAATGTGGTTGGGACGTCGAAAGTGGAAGACTTCCAGCTGATGCGCGACACCACCAAGGGTCTTTATCGGTTCATCGATCTAAACCCTGCAATCGGCAGGTTATACCACTTATTCACTCAATTTCTCGTCCTTTGCAGTCCGCTTGTTGAGAGGGAAGCAGAGAGTATCAGTCCCTGCTCTGTCCAGCAAAACATGAACCTCGACACTGAAGAGCCCAGCGTCCCAGTAGATGCTGGTATCCCCGTACTTAGCACGGACAATCAACTCTACAATGGCTCGGCCCAGGAAGGAACTGGGGGTACCAGATCGTTGGATACGACAATACGACCAGAGATGGATTCGTGGTGGAACAATGCTCAGATGTGGGAACTGTTTGGCACTCAGCCTTCGCTCGAATGGGTGGATTCTGAGATCACCGATTTTGTGGCAGATGGCTATCCGTGACCAGGAATTAAAGACCCAATATTAGAATCTGCCTACATAGATCTTTTTTCCCTTCTAGAGGGCTATGTGAAATGTCCTCTGTATGTTGTGCATGGCTGCCTAGAGTTTCGTGCGGGCCAAAACCGGCAGCAAGCACCTTGACCCAGCAGGCCGAGAGTAAAAATACACAATACCGATTGCTTCCAAGGGTCTCTTCAGGCAGGCCGCGTCAGCTCCAGGGAAAGACAAGCTTTCGGCACTGAGGCTTGGCTCCGACCCATCGGTATTGTCAACGTACCACATTTTACCAACTTGATGGCCTCGCATCCTTTATTCTCTGCTCTTCCCCCCTCCCTCCCTCCCCCCCACCCCGAACGATCCGCTCGACATGCTCCGTTAATTCCTATGCGTGTGGATCACTACAGACACTTCTCAGCAATGTCTTTCACCCAACCATATACTCCAGCTTCTTCCTCTCGAGCCATCTCCATCTCACAGTCGCTGGACATGGTGCCTGAAGAAGACTCCGAGATGGATGACTCGCAATTCGAGACTCTACCACTAGACAACTTGAAGAAGAAGTCAACCAGCAGCGGGCGATTGATAAGTCCCCTCGGACTGTTTCGCAGTCTCTACGCTCCAAGGACAAGACCTCGTCGATCCTTCCCTGCACGCCCGCTCTCCCGAAGAGCGCGAATCATCCAAGCCTTGCGGCGGCTATTCTGCGGCGTGGTGTTCATCCTGTGAGTGTTGCTCAGCCTCACTCCCCAGACCGAATGTATATCTCTTCAAACCAACTGACACGGGATCCTGCGCCAGCGGCACATTCAAACTCGCCTCCATCATCTGGAACACCCTGGTCTACCTCTTCCCCGACGACCTCGACGCCCGCCTCGACGGCTGGCTCGTCCCCGGCGGCCGGCCCTCGATCTTCTCGCACTGGACGACGCACGGGGTCGAGCCGGTGCACTGCCACTCGCACAACGACTACTGGCGCGAGGAGCCGCTCTACTCGGCGCTGCGCGCCGGCTGCATCGGCGTGGAGGCCGACATCTGGCCGTCCAACCCCGACCTCCTGGTCGGCCACACGCCGTTCACGCTGCACGCCGACGTCACCCTGCGCCGCCTCTACCTCGACCCGCTGCTCGACCTGCTCCAGAAACACAACACGCGCAGCAGCCAGCTCCAGCCCGCCCACGGGTCGTCCCCGCCCGCGGGTGTGTTCGCCACCGACCCCGCGCAGACCCTCGTCCTGCTGATCGACTTCAAGACCGCCGGCGAGGCGCTGTGGGAGCCCGTGCAGGCGCAGCTGCAGCCCCTGCGCGCCGGCGGGTTTTTGACTTCCTACAACGGCACGGCCGTCGTCGAGCGGCCCGTCACCGTCGTCGCCACCGGCGATGTCCCCTTCCATCGCCTCGTCGCCAACACGACCTACCGGGATATCTTCTACGATGCGCCGCTCGACCAGCTGGAGGGGACTCCGCGGGCGTCGGAGAGCAGGGGGGTCGAGGATTCCCCTCCGGATTCCCCTCCAGCTTTGTCGGAAAGCGACGACGACGGCTACACCCGCGCGAACAGCTACTACGCCTCCGTGGACTTCCGGCGCACGATCGGGAGTCTATCCGGCAATCGGTTCTCGGAGGCGCAGTTGGCCCGCGTGCGCGCGCAGGTCGCCGCCGCGCATGCCCGCGGCCTGAAGGTGCGGTACTGGGGCACACCGGGCTGGCCGCGGGGGTTGAGGAATCATGTTTGGCATGTGTTGGTCAGGGAGGGGGTCGATCTGATCAATGTGGATGATTTGTATGAGGCGACGCGGCAGGATTGGCGGAAGCATCGGAGCTGGGGGTTGTGATTGGGGTTTGGAGTTACATCAGATTGTGGATTTACTAGTTTTGCTCAGGGCGTATGCTCAATGGCTCTCTCTCGGACGGATTTTGGTTCTAAGTAGAGATCTAGCGTCGCATGTCAATAGTGATGAGACTTGTCTTTGGAATAGGACTGAGTGTTAGGCATTCATCAAAGTGATCCTGATTTCCCTCTCAGTCTTTTTCTTTATTTCGCCTGCAATCCAACCAGAATGCATGCTATACTCAGCCACCCTTTATCAAATTCTGGACAGCAGACGTTCGTCAATTGGTCATGCCATGCCCTAGCGCAAAATCACAAGAGAAGTTTTAAACTTTGTCACCGAAACCCGAGTATCAGACCGAAACGCCGCGTATTGTAACAGCCGTTTCGGTCTTTAACCTCGGGATATTGAGCCCGATCCCGAGATGTGGGCGATGCCGAGATCTAGTTTATTTACTCGGTCGACCGATCTCATCACGAGCCTTTCCTTATCAGTATTAGCACATCCGTACCAGCACGCGGCTGGCAAGAACGTAAACCTAGCTAAACTCTCCACCTGGGTTGTAGACATGACGGAGGCAGTGATCGAGGCTTCTAATGTCTACATCTGTGTTGGATTTTCCGAACCGAACCAGAGGCCGCCGATAATGACCCAAGATGCTCCTGAACTCCACGCCCCCATGGGCACAAGGGTCATATCAAACCTCATGCTGTGACTGCGGGACCGGAGCTCGCAGTACCGTCCCCCAGATCAACAGCGCAACCGCCAACATCGCCACTAAGATGGGCTGCAGGACTGTCACTCCCTTGGCCTGTGCGATCGCACCGATCGCGAAAGGGAAGACGGCTCCCCCGCCCATCGAGACCGCCGCTGCAAATCCAATGGCGGCGACATGCAGGTGCTTGGGCAACAACCGCGTCGCAACCACCACAACGCCGGGGAAGATGGTTCCCAAGAAGAATCCCACCAGGGCCACGGCTACGGCGGAGACAACAAACTCCGGAACCAGCCAGAAGACCATCTCCAGTGCAATGGCAAGCAAAATGTACAGGACAATCGATCGTTTCTCGCCAATGCGAGGGGTGACGAACCCCAGCACAAAGCGGCCCAGCGTAACGCCGAGCCAGAAGCCCGTTCCAGCCATGCCCGATGCAAAGGAGCTGCCGTGGCGGACACTAGTCATGAATACGACGATCCACCCTCCGATTGCGACCTCGATGCCGCCATACAGGAAGAGAAAGAGAGAACAGATCCAGGTGGCTCGGTACGTGAGTGAGAGTCGGGTCTGGTGGAGCGAGCTTCCACCGCGCTCTCGACCCGCAGAAGAGGGATGATCCTGCTGATACCTGGATGCAGTCTCCGCCCAGAAGGCGCTGGTGGCAATGACGAGTTCAAGCGCCGCCGTCCCCGTCTGGGACTTGCACATTAGTGATGGCAAAACAAGACACAGAGCCCGTGCGGAAAGGGCTGATTTTACCTACCAGAAGGTGATAGTATGAGTTCCATTCCCAGCCAGCTTTCGTGATCACGCTAGTCGCAATCAGCGGACTCACTGTAGCCCCGATGCCATAGAATCCGTGGAAGCATCCGAGGACTTCGTGAGAATTGGCCATGCTGCTGATCCATACGTTCCACCCGGCATTCTGGATCCCGCTACCCAGTCCGACAAAGATGTACATGATCACCAGCACCGGGAAGGGGGGACGTGTGGAGATGACGGCAAAAGCAAGCAAGTGACATGCTGGACCGATAAACGCCACGCCGCGACGACCCAGGCGCTGGTGGATCAGATTAATAACGACCGCGGAGATAGTGTAGCCCAGGAATGGGGACAGGAATATAAGGGAGATTATAGTATAGCTCTTGTCGTAGGCGAGCTGGAGCTGGGAGCATGCAAAGTAGCCTGGATTAGCACTGGACTGACCATGCTCTTATGGGCGTCGAGAAGGCGGAGGTACAAACGTAAGGGATTATCGCCCCATATGCTGCATCATTGGCGCCCATGACCAGTGCGCTCCAGAAGGTGGCCAGTACTCTCCAGATCATAGCCTTTGACCCGTTCCATCGCAGGGCGACGGTGACCGCGTGGGAGGGCGGGGTGTCATTCTCGGGAGCGGGGCTCGCGGGAAGAGATGCAAGGTGTATAGCACCGCCAGACGAGACGACCGAGGGTGGGCGAGTGGGATCGAGATTCATGGGCATGGCAATGGCCAACTCGGTCTTTGTGCAAGGAAATATCCCGAATCTGGTTGGTGGTGATATGGGGATGTGGGAATTTGGGAATTCGAGAATTATAACATTTAGAGAAGTATGTCGGGGGGGAGGAGGGGAGAGGGGATGTCCCGTGTTGCCAGTTGGCGCGGAGTTGACTTGGGTTAAGGCGATGGTCTGAGCACTACGTACTCCGTACAAATGCGGCTAATGACAGTAAGCAGGTCATGCAAGGTGTGGTGGGGTTTTTTTGTTACAAGTAATTAATGTCAGATTCCGATGCGAGTTTCTACACCCTCCCTACTGCCTCACCGTACCAGGTTTATAAAAGGCCTGGCTGGCAACAATAAACCAGAAAAAAGAGGGTCAACAACTTACAGCAATGGCTGGTAACCTGCCACAAGAGGTGGAAGCCTATCTCGAGGAAATAGTCAAGCGTCTGACGGAATACCTGCAACACCAGCTCGTGGGGATATATCTATTTGGGTCTGCGAGTTATGGCGCCTACGAGTCCGGCCTCAGCGACCTTGACGTACAGACCATAGTGACGGATCGGCTGAGCACCGTCGAGAAGCAGGCAGTGATCAGCCGCCTAACCCACGCCGCCTTACCTTGCCCGGCGACAAAACTCGAGTTCGTGGTGTATGCACAGAGCGCGGTGTATCCGGCCCGTCGTCACCCTCGCTTCGAACTCAATCTCAACACGGGGCTTCACCAGCCCGATCATATCAGCCTCGATCCCGCCAACGAGTCCAGCCACTGGTTTCTGCTGGATATCGCGATGGGACGTCAGCTTGGCCGCAGCCTGTGCGGCCCTGATCCGACCCACGCGTTCGGCGCGATTCCTCAACGCTGGATCCTGGAAGCAATCGCGGACTCGCTCGATTGGCACCACGAAAACGAACTCAGCTCTCCCAACAGCATTCTGAATGCGTGCCGAGGCTGGCAATTCATTGTCACGGGCGAGTTCTCTTCCAAATCGGATGGGGCCAAATGGGCCCTACAACAACAGGACTGTCCGGACGTTGTTCGACGGGCAATCCTCGCGCGCAACACAGGCGACAAACTCCCTGCGGCCCAGGCAAGGATGCTCTATGATATTGTTATGACGGCCAACCGTGCCAAACTCGCGACGGATATATAGCTTGACTTGGGCGCCCCAATCCATGGCAGCAGGTAAGCCATCGGGGTTCTAGAGCAGGGGTGGACAATCGAGATCTTTATTTATCTATACTCAGATTTTAGGCCAGTTCAAGAGTATGCGAACAGATGATTTATCGGGTCTTGAGGAGATGTGGTGATGTCGAATGACACGATCTTCCTGCGCAATCTAATAACAGGATGCTCAGGACGTTCAGCTACTTTAGCAGTTTTGGAATTTCTTGGTCATGGAACCAATATTTGACGCTGGCCGGATCGAGGTTCCTTACCATTCAGCAGTGGGTTGGGTTTGTTGCTGGTGTCTTGGGTAAAGCATTTCAAATCAAAGAACCGTATAGAATATTACTCGAAGCAGTATAACCGAGGGCTCTGAAATGATAAGTCTATGACTTGATATACAAATCATAATTCTACATTCATACTCTGTTCACTAGATCTGCAGGCTCGCTCGCTTGCTCGCATAGCTTGCTCGGGCAGTGGCAATTACATTAGTTACTACTAGTTACCTTGTCGGGTGTAGTCAGCCAGCTTCTACACCAATCACCAATCCACCCTCCAAATCAAACCCAACAACCAGCGATACGATTCTAGATCTCGATCTCCATCGATGGCTCGATGGCTCGATTCATCCCTCGATGACCCAAGATCCCGATCGATCTTTCTTGCCTGGCTTTCTTGCAGTGTGATTGAACATCCACCTCCAAGTCAGCAGGGATAGCATAGCACAGCACAAGAAGACAAAGGAATATGGCGTGGTCGATCGAGAATCCGACACGGGATCGAGATGGGCGATCGATGATCGGGATCGGGTTCGATGAATGACGATATTCTCTGTGCGGGCTGTGGCGTTGGTGGGCATACTCGGTGATGTACTGAGTACTCGGTATTCTTTTGCTGGGACTGGACTGGACTGTGGCTTGGGTGTTGTTAGCAATTACAAGGACTATGGAGTACGGAGTAAGGCTGCTAGGATGTGATCTCCTACGGAAGACCATTATAGCCACTCAGCAAATAAGAAATCTGCCGGCAAAATTATAAGTAGAAGTATTATATATATATAAAATTTTTAATAACTTTAATAAAAAAGAATAAAAAAAATTTTCTAATAAAAAATTTTAATAATAATATTTTTAGTCTTTAAAAATTCTAAATATTCTTATAGAAAAAGAAACTGAATCGATTATATAATTTGAAAATTTCCAAAAAATTTTCAGAAAAATAATAACTGCTGCAGTAAGAATATATAAAATAAATTCTATTTGCGGAGTGGCTGCAATGGTCTTCTATAGATAGGGGTTCCGAACCATCTATACCCAAACAGGTAATAATGTTGCGGTTAGTGCTTAGTACGCATGCTATCCCAGTCTCAGCCAGAAGGCATTTGTAGTATATGTTTCCATTGTAGGTGGTGTTCTATCGCATGACTATCAAGAAGTTTGTCTCGGATGGATGGCATAGTGCGGGGATGGTCTTAGCTTGAAAGCCTCTTATAATGCACAAGCTACTCAGTCCTGCTTGTATCCAACTCCAACTGGGAGGAGGGCGATCATCGCAAAGACTGGCCCGAAAGAGGAGAGAACATGCGAGAGATGGTACCAGGATAGAATTGCAACTCAGCACTGATGCTTAGAGCACATGATATAGATCTTCTGATCGGCGACACCATCCATCGGGCAGAACTTTGACTGGGACATAAATCATTTGTCTCGACTAAAGCATTGTGTGAATAACGACATCAGCCACAAACCCACAAGCCACAGGAAGTACATGGGCCGCAGCAGCCACAGATGCCAAGCTATGAGTAATTATCTCGATCAGGTGATACGTGGCCATCATCTCGGCTCAACCATAATCCGGCTCCTGGACGGGGGCAATTCCTCCGACTAGTTCGCATCCCCGAAGAGCACAGCTGGCCCATTCGCGTTCCACCCCATCCAACATTCTGTCCTCAATCCACCCTTTCCACTCATTGCACCACCACCCCCCAAATCATCCTCCTCACACAGTCACCATGTCCGACCAGGTCCAAGAACTTCTCAGCGTGCCTCGCGAGTTCCTCCGCGAGGGTATGCAATTCGTCAACCGCAGCCAGAAGCGTGAGTCTCCTGCTCCCTCGTGACCTCTCACCTCCGTGACTCTTTCTTGAAAGCATTTGGCTAATGCGCAACACAGCCGACAAGCGCGAATTCATCAAGATCAGCCAGGCTGTTGGCACTGGTTTTCTCATCATGGGATTCATCGGATACATTGTCAAGCTGAGTATGTGTCGCCTTCCGAGTGTTGCGGCCCCGTCGGACATTGTCAACACCAGAGACTATAGCTAATGAACGAATGCAGTCCACATCCCCGTCAACAACGTCCTTGTCGGTGGCGCCTAAGCGATTTCCTTTCTTTGGGGATTGGTTGCTGAGTGGTCGTTCGGATCACTTCCCAAGCGGCATGGGACCCAACCTGCGGACTTGAACTTCGACCGGCTGTCTCGGGCTCATGGCTTCTACTGGGGAATAGCAATTGGTGGTCGGAACAGAGCGGGGAAGATTGGAAACGGGTCATCTTATCGTATTATACCTCACCGCGCGAGTCTTGGACTTTACAACAAGCGTCTTGATGTCTTTTCGTGTCGCCGGGCCGGGGGACGCTGTCTGGCCCGAAGGGTCGCGCGGCAGCTTTCTCCGCGGGTGGAAAAAGGAAGCCGGTCGGTCTTCGAGAGATCGGGCTGACCGGCATATGTGCATAATCAATCTGGGTAGGCGTTTATGGGGTGCTCTCTAATGAGAACTTGGTCTTTCTATATGTCTATGCTCGCTTCAGACCTGCGAGTGATCTACAAGCATGAGGAGTGCTCTAATGTGCACTGTCACGGTCGAAATCGCCCCCAACAAACACTTGATAACTGGATTCGATAAGGGGCATCCCAAAACCAGAGCTCTCACAACACCACAATATTCCCCCTCCCCAATGATAAGTCATACAGGATGATGTCACCACTTCCATAACACCAATTGCTTTATCTCATACCAATGAAGTAGGCTTCAAAATAAAAACCACAGTAAGAAACCCAGGAACCGACAGTAAACTCGAACAAAATCATTATCCCACCTTGTCCAAACACCCAGCCACCCAGGCAAGCCAGTGGATCCCAACTGCCGACATCCGAACCCATGCTTGACTTCATCATCACCACCACCACGGCACACAGACTCCACCCCAGCCCTGAAATACGTAGCACATCTACCTCACCAAGCTCCAGGGACATAAATCCCCCCTCCCGCCCCTTCACCTCCGCAATATTCTTCCCCGAAAAGCTACCGATAACCCCCAAAAAGATGGCTCCCATCTCCCCACCCCCACAACTCACCCACCTCTTCACCCTCCGCTGCGCCGTCGACCCTCCTATGGAGATCGGCCACGGCCCCTACGGCCGTCGCCGCTGCATCCCCATCAAATCCGGCACCGTGCGCGGCAATTTCCTCAATGGGGAGGTCGTCCCCGGCGGGGCGGATTTCATGTATGCTTTTTGCCCGGCCCTCTTTCCCCCTCCCCTCCGAACCCAGTTTGCGCGACAGAATTGTATAGTATTGGTGAGTTAAGTGGATTGTGGAAGCTGACCTGCGGAAAAAGGCTCGTCGAGGAGGATCAAACCACGCATGTGAATACCAACTACGTGATTAAGAGTGATGATGGGGCGTTTATCTATATTCGGTAGGTTTTGTTCACAGTCCTGGGGTGATCTCGCCGGGGCTGCTAAGGTGACGATGTGCGAGAGGCCTTTTTGAATGGAGGGGGGGGAGAAGGGGTTGCTTAAGAATGATTGGGCAGGCTGGGTCGAACGGCTAATGCTGGATTGCAATATAGGACTGAGGGAACCCGCTCCGGTCCTCCGGAGGTCTTGAAAGCTCTCATGGAAGGCGATGATCAGGTTGACCCCGACCAATACTGGTTCCATTTGCATATCAAGTTGGAGACGGGGCATGAGCGGTACCGGTGGATGAACAATAGGGTCATTGTGGGGAGGGCGACGCGCGCCAAGGGGGAAGTTGCGTACGACGCATATTTCCTGGACAACAACTAGTTCGACTCATTGCATTAGCGGGCTCGGATATTTGACTTGAGGGTTTTGCGCGAATTCTATTCCGAGTGCGGTAGAATATAATGAAGAGATAAGATTTATGGTTTAGTTATTACAATGAGTAACGTATATCGGAATGACAAGGAGTGAAGAAGAACTAGGCGTGGAAATTGCGCAGCAATTCCCCCAAATCAATCCCCTCCGCAGGACTCGCTTCCTGGCGAGCTAGCACCTCTTCTGCGATCTGGTTGACCCAAAGATACTCTGAGTGAAATCCACGCAATTCGATCAAGCGCTGGCGCAGCCAGTCGCGCTGAATCGGATCCTCGGTCTCAATTAGTGCCATCAACAAGGGCCAGTGTAATCTACGTAGGAGACGGGGGTCCACGGCGTATTGCTTGTGTGTGTTTTCGAGAATCCCCGTCAGAGCCTGGCGGTGGAGTGCAGCTGGGGCCTGGCTGGAGCTGAGTAGACGGCGGTGAAAGAGAATGAGTGCGTAGAAGTTGCTAACAGCCATATAGATTGTGTTTAACGTGCGGCGGGTGGAGCCGGCCCCGGAGATTTTAGCGGTAACGAGAAGGTCGGAGAAACGCTGTCTGGGTTTAGAAAAGAAGCAATGCAGACACAGTGGGAGACTTACATCGCGCACAGAGAGAATCTCAGTGTATAACGTATCGGCTGTGTATGCCGAATCTGCAGGATCGCCTAGACATTTCCAGGCCTTGTGCCATAGTAAGAAGCCAGTGTGGATCAGCTCTAAGCCCCGGTAGTTTTCCATATCATCGGCGATTTCTTGGTCGGGGTACTGCTTGCCCCAAAAGCAACGACTCCAAAGACGTGCGCTTCGGTGAAGTTGGTCTGGGTGTAAAGCTGGTTTGTTGGAGTTGAGCACGTAATCTGTCAGTGAATCATTTGTTGTCGCAAGAACTCGCCGGTTGATGTCGACGTATCTGGGAGAAATTCAGAATTAGCAGATAGTATGAGAGCACGGATAGAAGGAACTTACATGATCCACAGAAGAAATTGTTCGGGAATGAACGACACACGAGAAGATACGTCCCCAACTGGGGGATCTGCATCCATTGACAGCATCACCTCGTCGAAGTCCTTGGACTCAAACAGTTCTGGGTGTGTTTCGAGCAGGGATCGTACTCCTTGGAGATGCAGCTGTAGATGACGCAGACAATGACCGAACTGCCATTCGTAGGCGACCATGAGAAACATTGTCGCGAAGATCATTTCCATCTCAGCAAGTGAAACCTGAGGTTTGGGAGTCTCCAACATCTGCCGAAACTCCTTTACGGCCATGCCATAGTGGAAGCGGCCGTGGTCTTCCGCCGTGGGGCGTCCTGGAGAGCGCAAAACCAGACCATTGCGGTACATGTCACTCGCCGATAGCGCCAGAATCATGCGCATAACCACTCTGCTGACGCGCGCAGGCCCCTGGTAGAGGTAGCAGAAGCTGCTCCACTGCCAGTTCTTCATATAGTAGAAAACGACGGAAGAGGAGGGGAAGTACTGGAAGTATTTCCGATCATGTTCGGTTAGTACCAACGCGTTAGAGCAGGGAAAATCAGTACCCGACAATGATGGATAGAGGGGGGGCGTCTGAGTATAGGCCGGGTGATATACCGGCCAACTCGTGGGGAGGAAGCCGTCCGGGGAAGCCGGGGAGAAATCCGGGGCACATCCGGGGGCCGGGGGCCACAAAGAGGCCAAGGTGTTGGCATAGTGGGCATTAAGGATGCCAACTGTTGTCCCAATAGGAGTAACAGGCGCAGACGCAGTAATTAGCGTAGGAGAGCTAGGGGTTATCGCAGTAGTCGTTGGAGCGACATTAGCGGTGGTTGCGGTGGTTGTGGTGGTGATCGGATCGCTGCGGGTGGGCGGCGGCCACCGGGGCTGCAGATGACGGACGGGCGCATTCTCCCCGGTTTTCCCTCCTCGTTTAACAGGAATCCCCCACTCGCATGTGAGACGCAAATTAAAGCATCGCTTGCACACCGGACGCTCCTCACCACATTTCACTTTGCGACGGCGGCAGGTGCTGCAGCCTGTGAAGCGAGGTCATTTGTTAGTTCGTTCGGTTAGCAGGGAAGAGTCGGCAGATGCCGCATACCATTCTTCGAGCGAGGCGCGTTCCGACCCGACATGGAATGGCACAAGAGGTCCACTCAGTGATGAGATGAACCGATCAACCGGTAGGCATCAGTTAGATCGGGGGGGTGATTAGAAGAAGCCCAGAAGAGCAGATCGGAAACGATGAGCTTGTTTCTTGTTCTTGTTACTTTTTCCGATCGGTTAAGGCACAAGAGAGAAAGTCAGTCCGGAATGTCAGGGAAAAAATCGAAGGAAGAAGAAGAAGCGAAACCGGGGAAGGGAGGCTTAGTCAGCGGTGTCCCCTTCCCTCGACTCGAGCAAGCAAAAGAAGGCTGGAAAAGCATGAGGTAAGTGGAGTGGAACTATTTTCTTGATCGGGGGGCAGCTGAAGAATTGGTTCCATGGAAGAATTCATCTCCAGCATCTCCTCCCCACAACCCAGACCCAACAGGCCTACTCCCGCTGTCTATACTTGTCAGTCATATAACTATACGACTATAGCCTTCCGGATGTTTCACTTGACTCGCTAGCCTCTCCTGTCAATGACGAGGACTCTATCAACCGAGTTATTGATTCATTGAAACGACAAGCACTACAGTCGATCACCACCAACATGGAGTGATTCCTTCTCTCCTCTCCCCCCCGCCCCTTTATCTGCCATCACTGCCACTATTGTTCTCGCCACAACTATTCCTCCACAGCCTGCCGCCACTGTTGCTGCGCCACTGCAAATAGTTCGTCGTCTGTCAACATATCCCACGCGATCAGTGCCAGCGACTTCCCCACAATCACAGCCTCTTCGTGAGCCGTATCCGTGCCCGCCGCAGCAGCAAAGCTGGGATGGTGAGGAAATGAGCCTGGCTCATCGGTAATCCCAAACATCGTGTGGAGTGTTGGCACAAGATAACTGACATTTCCTGCGTTCCGGTTAGCATCAGACGTTGCATTGAGCATTCACGACCAACCAATGTCCGACGACCCTGTTAAGACCTTCTCATGCTGTGCCAATACATTCCGTCCATAGCGGCCCATGTGCGCTTGATATCGGTCGCATAAGGTGTCGTTAATCTTGATATCCGTGTAGAGTTCATTCCTACCACTGTCAACATGTTTTCAACTCCCAGGAAAGACATGACCTTACTCCAGGATGTCCACTTCACAACCGGTGGCCATTGCCCCAGCCTCGATGCAGTTCCGCACTTTGCCCATCAAGGCATTCAATCCTTTCAAGGTCGGACTTCGCACCTGCCAGTAAGCTCTGGTTAAAGCTGGAATCACATTCGCCACTTTTGGTGTGTCCAGAAAGGCAACATGGACCCGCTCGTCAGGGTACATCTGTTGGCGTAGAACGGCCACATTATTGTACGAGGCCACCAAAGCATCTAATGCGTTGACTCCCTCCCAGGGATTACCTCCTGCATGGGCACTCTTGCCTCGGAAGGTGCAATGAATCTCTTTCCGCGCGTTCATCCGAACACCTCCCACACCATCCGCCACAACACCTGGGAAGAGTTCCCGGGGGCCTGCGTGACTAGATGGGTCAGTGGGATGAAGCCGTCAAGGCACCAAAGGGAGAGACTTACGCCATCAGAGACACATCAACAGTTTTATAGGCTCCTGCGTCTATCAATTTGGCCTTTCCTCCGCCATTCTCTTCGGCCGGAGTACCCAACAATTGTGTCCGTCCCGGTAGACCATACTGCTTCAACACGGCGGACAGGGCAACAAATGCTGCGACACTACTAGTAGTGATGAGGTTGTGGCCGCAGGCATGACCGATACCTGGCAAAGCATCATACTCTGCATTGAAGTTGATCAGCCGCCCTCCGGACCCGCTGATCGCCTCAAATGAGGTATCTAGTCCGTATGCGTGGCGAGTTACGGTGAAGCCTTGCTTCTCAAGGAAATCGCAAATTACATCATGCGCACGATGTTCTTCGTATGCCGTCTCTGGATTGGACCAGATCTGTCAAGGTCTAAGTCCGAGAGGATGATGACAATATGGAGTCATGCCCGTACGTACCGTGCGATTGAGCTCACGAAGAGGGCCTTGCAAAGATGCTAGTGTAGCATCGACAGCTGCCTTCACTTCCTCTGCTGTTGGTGATGATTGCAGGATAGCCATTTCGAATGTCTGGTTGGTGTTTTAGTGTCTTCATTGCACCCCGGATGCTGAAGACGGCAGTTCATATATCCTATTTGCTATCTGCGCCACTCTTGCTACGCCAACCCCTCAATCTTACAAACCACAACCAACATTCAATGCAATCCAGCCGTAGCCTCGGCTGATACCATTAAGCCCCGCGCAATACGACGATGCTTGAGATAGTTTATCGTGATAAGATTGGCTGGGTGCCATCATCCGGAAAGTCTGACGTCGGCTGTCTCGCTTCCACCCCGCATTTTCGGGAAACTCAAGGTTTCCCGCTATCGGGGTTTGTTCTTGATCAGAGAGATAATCTGGAGCCATTGACAAATGGTTGCGCTATCAATATCATCACCAGGGTCTAGATATGCAGGATAAGCCGCATGGCGTATACCTACCCAATCCAGTCTATCAGGTGGCCTCGGCAGATAACAGTAGCCGAGTGGAGCCTGGGCGGGGATGATAGACCGGTTTGCGAACCAGAAGGTTGGTGACTTGGTGTGCCACGCGCCTTGCCCTTCATTTCTCCGCATGGGATCGGGGACTGTGGAGGGGCGGTGGAAGCAGGTTGGAAAGGAAATGCAATTCCTTTCGCGCTAAATGGCACCGAGTAATCTATTGAGTGGAGACTCTTTGCCCCAGGATTACCTGCGGATTGGTACAATTGCCGAGCCACTCCCGGCAATTGGTCCAACTGCCGACCGAGCCCTAATGGCTGTCCCAGAAGGCAGCCGAATTCGGCGCCGGGCCCTGGGGTGTGCCTGCTTGACCCACGAGTTTTCCCCGTCGTTCCCTGACTGGATCTGAAAGCGACTGACGATCGAGCCCACAAGAGGCCAGCTGGAGAGGGGTCTGAGCTATAGATTATGCTATCTGAGCAGCAGCAATGTTGATCCCGTGCCAAAGGGATAGCTTTACGAGGACGTAGCTGACATCTACTGCGGGAGAGATTTCTCTATCTAGCGCAGATTAACTTTCTGGTGGCGGCGTGAGTATCACAAAGACAGGCGGAGTATATAAGTCTGGGCGAGAGACGCCTGTGTCAGCATGCCGTGGTTCTCTCGGTCATCCCCATTTCACTACCCACAGACTGTGACGCCATGGAGAAAAAACCTACAAGCCAACCTCAGGAGGAAAACCTGGGGTTGGAGGGGGTGAATTTGGAAGACAAGATGCTGCCTCGAGATGTCGACCTGGGACAAATGCTGGAGTTCGAGGCTACGCCGCAGCAGGAGCGACAGGTTCTGCGCAAGCTGGACCTTGTGTAGGTTGTTGCTATGGCCCTCTGAACAGCACATTCGTTAACAAGAGCCAGGCTTATACCGCTGATGGGTGTCTGTTACATGATGCAGTATATGGACAAGCTTGCTTTAAGCCAGGCCACGCTCTTCAATCTTCGACAAGACTTGGTATGTCCACTCTTTTGTTGTGACCGATCCGTACTAATCCGTACAGCATCTCGAAGGCACAGAATACACTTGGACGTCTGCAATCTTCTATTTCGGATATTTCGCCTGGAGTTGGCCTAGTTCCTACCTCATCGTACGCTTACCGATTGCCAAGTACATCAGCGTCTCAGTGTCCGTACCCTCCTTCCTCCGATCTCCTTTACAACTCTTTTCTGATGGATCGCTAGACTCCTCTGGGGTGGTGTCTTGATGTGCCATGCGGCCGTGAAAAACTTCGGAGGGTTGATGGCCGCTCGGTTCTTCCTCGGTGTAGGTGAAGCAGCCATTGCACCAGGCTTCTCGCTCATTACAGGCATGTTCTACCGGCGTGATGAGCAGCCAGCTCGGTATGAACATCCGAAAGTCAGATAGCACGACGTTACAAAGACTGATACATCGACACTAGGCAATCTGCCTGGTTCCTGGGCAATTGCATTGCCACGGTCATCGGCGGCGTCGTCGCCTACGGCATCGGCAACATCAAAGTCCACTCCATCGCCAGCTGGCAGCTCCTCTTCCTCGTCCTCGGCGCCATCACCGCCTTCATCTCTTTCTTCCTCATCGTCCTGTTGCCCGACTCCCCCAAGAAAGCCATCTTCCTCACCAAACCGCAACGCCTCATTGCCGTGCAACGGACCCTCACGAACAAAACCGGTGTCGCCGATGAGGGCTCCTTCCAATGGCACCAAGCATGGCTGGCGGTTCGCGATCCGCAGACTTGGTTTCTCGTGCTATACACCTTCTGCGTAAACCTCTGCAACGGTGGCGTCACAAGTGTATGTGCATACCCTTCCTCGCTTCCCCTTTTCCCCCACAACACCCTTCCCGCAAGCTAACACCAGCACCGCCTCACACAGTTCTCCTCGATCATCATCAACGGATTCGGCTTCTCCCAGATCCGCTCCCTCCTGATGCAGATGCCCCTAGGCGCCGCGCAGATCGTCTTCCTGTGCCTGACCGCCAGCGTGGCGACCTTCGTCCCCAGCACGCGGATCCTGATGATGATCCTGAACACGGTCACCTCGCTGATCGGCATGGTCCTGGTCTGGCGCCTCGACGACGCGAACCAAGTCGGCCGCCTCGTGGGGCTGTCCCTGGGCGCCGTCTTCGCCGTCAACATCCCGCTCTCCCTGAGTATCATCAGCTCCAACGTCGCCGGGTTCACGAAGCGGAGCACCACGAGCGCGCTGCTGTTCATCGCCTACTGTGTGGGCAACATCGTCGGGCCGCAGTTCTTCCTCTCGTCGGAGGAGCCTCATTATCCGGTGCGTTTACATTATCCTACCGGTCCCTTCCTCGTCCAGATTGTGCACGTACTCGGTTTGCAGAGGAACTGACTAACACATCACATAGACCGGCATGAAAGCCGCCATATCGGGGCTGGCCTTCGGGGCCTTTTTCCTCATCTGTCTGCTGGTGTATTACGTCTTTGAGAATCAGCGACGGGATCGCGCGTACGGCCCTCCGGCCCAGATGACGGAGACGGAGGAGTTGGCGCTGGGGCTGTCCAACCGGACGGATTTGGAGATTGAGGATTTTCGATACGTTTTGTGAAGATCCCCAATGCTGAATGGAATTAGATTAATGCCTTGACTATGAATTAATGTAACGATATTTTTTTTGATGGATTATGTTCATGTCCTCCGCTTGTATCTCACGCCGTGACTGACAAGTAGGTACTTGGAGAAGACATCCTCGGCGAAGTCGTCGAACGGCTCGTACACCGCACCTAATCGGTAGGCCGCTGCCATTCCGGAGATGCATGCGATCTCGTGCATATTCTAGGGAAATTGTCAGCTTCTTTCGAAAACGAAACCCATCAGCAACAAGAAACATACCACCATGGTCCACGCCCCGGCATACAACGTATTATTCTTCCCGTTGATGAACATCATCCCCGGCACGACGCGCAGGTAATGCTGCCAGCGGTGACCGAACTGATGCCACCACTTCTCGCCGATGATCTTGTCCTTGTCGATCCCCTCCCACGTCCACAGGTGTTTGTGGTCCTCGTTCAGGAAGATGGTCTGGTAGACGTGGCGCTCGGGCTCGGGCGGCAGGGCGTCCTCGCCGATCGCCTCCCGGAACTGATGCTGGTAGTGGGTGCAGTCGAAGCCCATCTCGATCTTGTCCGGGTCCGAGTCGAAGGAGTGGGTGAAGTACATGGGGGCGAAACCCTCCCAGCCGTCCGTGCGGCAGCGCGGCGGCATCTGCTGCGCGAAGGCGATCTGCTCCTGGCGGGTCTCGGAGCTGGCCTTGCCGCAGAGCTCCTCCTTGTAGCGGGTCTCGAACAGGCTGTTGAAGTACTCGGAGTCGGTGTGCGTGATGGTCAGGTCGTTGAAGAACTTGACGCCGTTCAGCACGTACCGCTCGCGCCAGGTCGCGTGCGCGCCCAGCATCGACAGCGCCTCGTCGGCGGGGCAGCACAGGATCAGCTCGTCGAAGTCCTCCACCGTCCCCTTGCCGGCCTCGTTGGGGCGCTCCTGCTGCCCGTCTTTCACCGACCGGAGGCGCAGCTTGACTTGTTTATTCTTTCGGTGCAACACATCGGCCTCCGTCTCCAGGAGCACCCGCACCCCTTTCGCCGCCAGATCCCCCTTCCAGTCGTGGTAGAACTCCCCCAGGTTGGGGAAGGTGTACATCTGCGGCCGGTTCTGCATCAGCATGTCCTCGTCGTACTCCCACAGGCGCATCTGCGGATCGTCGAACAGCCGCTCCAGCAGCACGCACGCCACGTTGGGGGTCTGGTTGCCCGTCCCCAGGAACAGCGCGATCAGCGGCAGCACCATCTTGAGCCCGAAGTCCGTGCTGAAGCGGAACAGCCGCAGCATCGTCTTGATGGGCATCAGGCCCAGGATCGGCATCAGCCGCTTGATCCAGCGCAGCACGCGGCCCAGCTTGCTGATCTCCGCCGAGTAGGTGTCCACCAGCGGGCTGGGGAACACGTTGGTGAAGAAGCTGTCTCGCCCTTTCCCGAAGGAGACCTGCAGCTGCACGGGGTGCGGCTCGTAGCCGTATTTCTTGAAGAAGTGGAAGGTGTGGCGGAAGATTGGGGAACCGCCTTGCACCCCGTCGTTGAGCCAGGTCGCGCCGCCATGCTTTGCGGCGTCTAGGGGGATTGTGGTCGCTTGGCCGCCGGTCTGCGGGGCGCTGTCGATGAGGGTAATGTCAAATTTGTCGGGATGGTTGGCTAGGGTGGAGGCGCAGGACTTTTGGGGGTTCAGTGAGGTGTTAGCGTGGGTGTGTTGGGTTGCGGTGATGGTGATAGTGATGATGATGGAGACAGGGATGCGGAGATTCTTACCATACCGGCGGCCCCGGCGCCGATCACCACCACTCTCTTCTTATTGTTATCATTCTGGGCCATTGTGAAGGCCTATACTAGGTTTTGAGAAGGTATTCAGATGAAGGTCGCCCATGAAGAAATGCATCGGTCTTGACGAGATGTATATCTAGGAGGTGAGTCAATGACGTCAATGCTCGGTCGCGGAGAATTCATGCGCTGTTAATCCATTAAGTCATCCTGAGGGCATGATTAGATCGATTCTCATCCCGGCTTTTTCAGATAAGGTTTCGGCGATCCGATCTCGATCTGCTTGGTGTAGCTCGAGTTCGTGAATGATCCTTCACTGTGAAAGTTCTGTGCCGTCGTTGTTCAAGGTTATTTTAGTAGCATTGTTTCATTGTCCAAAAACTGTCTCACATGATCCTGCGGGAGTGTTGTTCATGATGATAAGAAACTCTTATCATTCTCAGAACACCAAAGCTGGTTCTAGTTGAGCCAGTTTGGTTTCAGGTCAAATCTCTCTCCCTTGGAATTGTTGAATGCAAGATAAACAGCTTTGCAAGGCTCCCAGTCCTCAGGTCCCGACCCCGCCTCGCTGGCAGTGTTTCAGAGATCGCTCAAGTAGGAGTTTTTGCTGCGGAATCAAGTGTCTGATTGTATAAAATAGCGACTTCTCACAGAGACCGAGTCGGCTTTATGAGTGGGGACGAGGTTTGCTGGAAACACACCTCAGGTGGTATATCTCCATCGATGCGACGTCGGTGAGCGGAGGGACACAATGACTACCTCCTTGTTTAGACAGCTCGCAAGCGAAGAGGCTAACCACTGGAAAACAGACCGCTGCATCATAGCATTTGCGTGGTTTCATGAGCTGATCACATCTAGTGCACCCTTGAGCATCTCGCAAGACAACTCCTATCACTCCGTTCTTCGGAGATGCTGTGACGACAGATCAAGGATCGGCGTGTCCTTCATTCATCAGGGTGACAAAAGATGAAAAGCTGTAGGTCTGTGTAGGTTCCCGAGGATGGCTTGGGGTGTACCCAAAGTTGGCACAGGAACATCGGCCGACACTTGTGGGTTTGGGGTTCGTCAATTCCAATATTGCTAGGGTCAGATCTGTACAGTGGCTAGTGCCAGGAACGAGACGTAGATGAGATTAGAGGAAGCTGAGATGAAGCAGACTGACGTACAGGACAACGCAGATGGTAAGATGGTAGGAGGTGGAGGATGGAAGCGGCGGGAGGTGTTGGAGCGGGCGCAACTTGGAAGGTGGACAGACCTGCCATTTGTGTTCTTCTGGGCGGAAAACTAAGTACCGCTTGGGCCTCGGAGAAAGAATCACGATGGAAGTAGGATGTCACTGGACTGACAATGCTCTTTCTTCTTTGGTATACTGAGGCAGCTATCTCGTGCTCATTATCAGAGGGGTATGAGGTAGCCAATCCAGGGAGCTTGAATAGACATAGACAGAAGTAAACAGGTGGAGTGTCTGGAGGACACGATATGGAAGCTGGGATATGGTCTACTTCGAAGTGGTGGCACATGAGCAGAACACAGAGGACCTACCGGAATCTCTCCGCTACTGGTTGATCAATCAACTCAATACTTTATTTTCATGAAGATAAATTAATCAAAAACTAAAGGTTTTGACACCTTGGATGCTGTAAAAGAAATTCATTTCGCATACACTCTGCAGATTGCTTTATCCTCTTTCAGTCAAGGTGACTGGTCTGTCGCTCAATTATCCATAACAATTCACATCTGCTCTTCGTCTTTTTTGTTTGGCTTCATCTCATTAGCTGGAGACAGAGCTTCACAGCGGATGGATATGTGCGGTATGCTGCTCGTGCATGTGCCAATGTATAGTACTGCACAGTCCTGTACCAAGACGGGGCACTATGCTTGGCCTGACAGCTTAGTGTGTGGCCTCTCTAGTCATGGAGGCGCCGTTGGAATCGACATATAGTGCCGCAATCATCACAATTGTTTTCGATCACGGCATGCAATTCAAAAAGAGGTATCTCCAATAAGAAAAACTCCCGTGGAGCTTACATGCTTGGTCGACACGGGTCTGCTTGCATTCGATGGTAACTGTCTGCATGTCAGAATGGGTGGTCGATCATGTGAAGTCCATTATGCACATGATCTAATGTGCACCTGGGTTGGTGCAGCATAATCGTTGGGCGACGAAAGTGAACTTTTGTCTAGCCCTGATCGATCCAAGGGTAAATATCGTTGATGGTTGGCATTGAAGGTGGAGTTCAGTTAATCGTCGTGCCCGTCTCCATGTTAACGGTCGCAATTGGTCGTCTCCTCTTTTATAAGGTAGCACTTTCGAGTAACAGAGTCTGAGTAGTTATAATCATGATTTCGGGGCTTCGTATCGCATGTCGGTCCCACGGGGCTGGTGGGCTGATTGTATAGCCACAAGCATTGTTTGTCCCTTAATCGTGCATCGGCTTCCGGAGCCGTGGAAAGTAGAAAAGAAAGAAGACAATGACGGCGAGCAAGACAACCAAGGTGGGCAAAAACATGAATGTAAAGAGGAAGACACTCAGCCCGAAGGCAGCATTCTGGCCCGGAAAGAATCGACGAGCCATTAGGTCGAGAGTGGCGGCGAGCATGGATACGGGGGATTTTGGTCAACAGATGATAAGCGCTAATTATTGTTCCACAAGTTGGTGGTCTAGCGATAGTGGCAAGCAGGGATGTAGAGAAGATCGACGGCGAGGAGGAGAAATAAATCGCTGATGGTTGGAGGTAGCCAAGTGTTTGGTGGGGAGAGTGAAGCAGAAGTGATGCGATCGCGGGTTGATGGTGTGGTGTCGATCCAACAAGACGGTGATAGTTAAGCATTTATAGACATCAACTCAAGGTCTCAAGGTTGCCCGGGAGGCCCAGCCGGCGCAGGAAGAAAAAGCTTTGCTGGATGATTTGCAGTTGCAGGGTCCGATAACGATCATGGATTGGAAATGAATATGCCTGTTGAACCACCCAGAGGTCCAAATTGGATGATGAGTGAGGGATCCGCGGACCGCGGTCGGAGTGGAAGGAAATTTCCAGAGATGGCCGGGGATGATTGGAACTAAACAAATTTGAGGTTGGACTGCCGCGATGGTAAGGACCTTGTATCGTAATAATGGATGCCTGCAAGGTGGCTGCATTATCGACACCAAATGAAGTTTTCATTGGTGGTAATGGCTGTTGCCCCATGTGGCGCCACACTCAGCTATCTATTTTGGGTCTAGTGGCTCTGTCAATGCTGTTTCGGGATGACGCAAGGAGTTCCAGTTTACGGTGACCCGTAGTACAAGTAGTACTAACAGTACCGGATCACGGCGGTTTGGCACAGGCAGCAGGAATTCCTTCCAGAACAACTGAGCCACTCTTTCCTCTTTCCTCACGGTCGCACTGCGTCGATTCCAGATAAACTCGAAGCGTGGAGTTAATATGTAGTATGCAGAATTATCTGAGTGGGTCAATAGAGTAGATGAGGATTGGAACCTTGGCTGGCTAGAGTACTCGTACTGTACCTATAGGTATAGGTAAGTAAGTGGACTGGTAGAGTGCAGCCCTGCGTAACTTAGCGCTGAGAAAAGTGGCAGGGGCGGAACCATTGGCCACATTGCCTTGTAGGGCTGAGGCTAGTACTGGCTGACCTTGGCGGTTGGTTTACTCGGTATTATTATTATTTTTATCATCAAGTCACTCTCATTTCTCATCGTTTTTCAACTCTGTCCTGTTCAAAATCACTTATTAATCCACAGTCATGGTTAAGTGCTAAATATCCAAAGGCTACCCACCACCCACTTCATATTCTTTCTTAGTCTCTTTAGTTCTTTTCTCCTTACACACACTTGCTTCTTTCCCCCTCCCACCCCCCATCCCTTCGCTTCCCCATTTCCCATTTTGCTCCTCTTGTTTTTCAGTTGGCCCCCCTCCCCCTCCCCCCCCTTCTTTCTCCAAACACACGGAGTGTGGATGCATCCGTGAGCCTCCCCCACCGCCGCGCGGAGATGAGGCTATCCCACTCGCTACTTTGACTCCCCCGCCCTCCATCGATATCCTTTCGAGTCTCGATATCATCATCCCTTCCTTTGATCTCTTATCTTCCTTTCGTCTATTCTCCTCTGTTACGACCTCCAACCCCCTCCGATCAACTCGAGATGGGGCTCTTTGCCGGTCATGAGCCCGTCGACCAAGCCGAGCTGGATAATTTCGGCGTCGACTGGGTCATCCACTACTCATTCGAAGATCTCGGTAAGGAGTTGTACCTCAACCACAACCATGATTGACAACAACAACAACGTTAGCTCACAGCCACCTCCTGGTGCAGAAATCTCGCAGGCCATTTCCGAGTTTCGAACTTTGATCCACGACTTGGAGGAGGCGCATCTGCAGGTCCAGGTTCGCCATGGTTACGGACCCTCCCTGCTGGTCTTCATTCGCGTTCCCCCTGATCTCCTGGGGAACATGGTCTACAAATCTCGGTATTTTTTTTGAGCCTGGGGCACCCCACCCATCTCACTCACCCACCCTCGCATCCCTAATCTAACAATCGCTCAGAGTCAAGGATTGGTTACACGGCATTATCCATGAGTTCCCGGCAGGCGACGATCACACGGTAGTTGAGTCTGAGACTGCCGCGGAAGCCCTCCGGTCGGTCTATCATGCGGTGACTTGGCAGAAACACTTGGGAGGGGCGGGAATCACCCCCAAAATAGGCCAGTGGAAGAATATTCAGGCTGCCATCCCTCTCCAGGACCGCGCCGCTAATGCCGAACTCTTGCGCAAATGGAGTAAGACGCTCAATATTACCGCCGAGGATCTCGACGCTATCCGGGCGCTGTTCGGTGAAAAGGTAAGCACTCTTTTTTTCCCCCCCACTCCTCGTTGGATTTGGACTTCCTCCACGCGCTCGCGCATAATAGATACTAATCACATGTTCTGAACAAACTAGGTCGCTTTCTATTTTGCCTTCATCCACTGCTATTCCACTTTTCTCGTCTTCCCCGCCGTTTGGGGCGTTTTCTGCTGGTTCTATCTGGGCCCTTATTCCATCACTTGCGCTCTCGTCAACTGCCTCTGGTGTATTATCTTCGTCGAGTACTGGAAGACTCGCGAGATTGATTTGAGCCTACGGTGGAACGTTCGGGATGTCGGAATTCTCAAGGTCAATCGACCGGAATGGGTGTGGGATAAAGAAGTCCAAAACCCCGTTACAGGGGAGACAGTGAAGGTGTTTTCGACGCAAAAGCAGTTCCTCAGGCAGCTGCTACTTATCCCCTTTGCGACCGTGGCTGCTCTAGCCTTGGGCACTTTGATCATCTTGTCATTCGCTTCCGAGGTATTGGTCTCCGAGATATATACCGGTCCCTTTAAGGGCTACCTGGAGTTTCTTCCAACCATCTTGTTCTCCCTCTCGCTGCCGTGGATCACCAATACGCTCACCGAGTTCGCCAAGCAGTTGACCGACTACGAAAATTACCGCACGCAGGACCAGTACGATGTCGCCCAGACTTCCAAGACCTTTGTCATGCATTTCATCACCGCCTTCCTGCCTACCTTGCTGACTGCATTTGTTTACGTGCCATTTGGCACGAAGCTGGTCCCTTATCTGGATGTCTTTCGCACTTATGGCCTCATGTCTGCCAATCTGGCCAAGGAGATCCACATTGATCCGGCCCGCCTTCAGCAAGAGGTGATCTACTTGTCTGCAACCGCCCAACTGCTCAATTTTGGCGAGGAGATTGTGCTTCCCTACGTCAAGCAGACGCTAATGCACAAGTGGCGCACCTATCGCGACGGTCGCGATGCCGCTCGCATGCCTCGTCGCCATTCCCAGCGGACAGATTTGTTACTTGTCGATGCACCCGAAGAGGCGGCATTCCTTGCGCGTGTGCGCGATGAGGTGGAAGCGGACGAATACAACGTCCATGACGATACTTTGGAGATGTGTGTACAGTTTGGATATCTGGCCCTGTTTGGAGTGGCCTGGCCCTTAGTGCCGCTCGGATTCTTAGCCAACAACTGGCTAGAGCTGCGAGGCGACTTCTTCAAGCTCAGTTTGGAGTGCCAGCGACCCCCGCCGATTCGGGCGGACTCGATCGGCCCGTCTCTGCAGGGACTGGAAGTGCTTGCCTGGCTAGGAACTCTTTCCACGGCCGCGGTCGTTTATCTATATCGTAATAGTATGGAAGGGGTGCAATTCTCCTCCTTCCTGCTGACCCTGCTTCTGGCTGAGTGGGCGTACCTTGGCGTCCGGTTTGTGGTGCAGACCGGCATGGAAAGGATTAGCTCTGTAACCCTCAAGCGGGCAGAGGCCAAGCGGTACGGCATGCGCAAGCGCTACCTCGAGGCCACGTCAGGCAATGTCTCCCCGCGGGGCAAGCCGCGGGTCCGGTTTGAGGACAAGGTCAGTGTGTACACCACCGGCACCGATGTGAGCACCAGTAAGGAGGGGCTTTTGCAGCCGGGACATGATGGTCTGCACCATGGACGCCAATTCTGGTCCTGGGCACCTCAGGAGGCTGCTGACGCTGGTGTACGCATGATCAAAGCATTGAACACCACGATGGACGGGTCGAGAACTGGGCCGACCAAGCTGGCCAAGGGAGCATAGGCGTTGTATTGTATTTCTCAGTCCCCTCGTTGTAAATGATGAACTTCCTCTTTGTTTTTGTTCTTGCCTTGAATGAGTCTTATCTTTGTAGTGTAGAAAAGTAAGTTAGGGGGGGGTGGAGTACCTACTACCTTACTGTGCATGGGCACCTTTGAAGTGGCAGGCTGCAATCTGCACGGGTGTCTTCTTAGTTCCCTTTGACTTTTCCCCTCTCCATCGGACCTGATTTTGAACCACCACTACTTGGACCCCTGGAATAATTCTCAGATTGAAAACGCCATTGATCTGGATTATCTGATCGCATGATTGTGAAAATTGATGAAAGCTAAACAGCACTCATTGAGTTTTTGGAGCTCGTGGGTTGGACAAGCGTCAGCCCTATAAGGCATGCCAAGTGCGGATACTCCCAGGCGACCAGCCAATCAGCTGGCCAACCGACATTCCGGACTCCATTCTTGCCCGCTGGTTTGTTGCGCGTCTCTCTTTCCAGCTTCTCTGCCAAGTTCCAACTTCTCTTTCGTCTTCCTTCTTTCTCTCCTCTTTCCCGTCCAGCTTCTTCATTCCCCCGACCACCCACATCTCCTATAATTTCCCCCTTCTTCTATATGCCATCCCTGGCGTCCTCTCTCTCTTATTCCCCTTCCCTCCTTCCCCTCTCCCTCTCTCTCCAGGGCTGTTCCTCCACCGCCGGCTGGAGGGGCTCCGTCTCCTCAGGTCTCGCTGCCCCCGATGCGCCCCTCGCAGGACACCCTCCCCCCGATCGTCTCCGATAAGGTCCTGCATCACGAAGAGCATGAGACGGGCTCTCTACCTCCAGCCTCGGTCACCCTCTTACGGCAACGACGAAAACTTCACGTTATCAATCCATTGTGGTACCGCAACAGTCTGCTGGCGAGCGTGGGGTTCCTAGAGTTCGCCAATGCGGGTGACTTTGCCGCTAATGTGTGGAACGATGTCCCCGTCCCGTTATACGCGATTATCTTCATGGCGATCGGAGGCCCTCTCGCACTGTTGATCAGCGGGTTTGCCGTCCGCGACAGTGTGCTCAGCTGGCAGAACGTCCGGATCCTCCAACGAGAGCGCACGTACCTCAAATCCCTACAGGCCCAGCACCTCGAATGTCCCGCACCGGATGCCACCACACTCCGTTTCATCGACCGCCGCCTGGGGGTCAGCCACCGCGAACTGGGCACCGAACTGGTCGATCGCATCGTCATGGACGTGTTCCTCGGAATCGGCGGCCTTCTGGTCGGCACGGGCACGATTATGGCCATCTGGGGTTCCGACCGACACGTATACTTCATCAGCAACCTGCTCTCGGGGTACGTCGGCAACTCCTTCGCGGCCATCTACGGCATCATCAATGCCATCTGGTCCGCCTATCTGGTCTGGCGCTTTCACAGCTA